TATATAAAGATTAATTTTATTAAAAAAAAGCTTTTTTTATTTAAGGCTCTTAAAATAAAGATAAAAAAAAAGGAAAATCTTATTAATAAAAAAAAGAATTTCCTTAAGGATATAAATAATAATTAATATAAGGTATAGCTTATAATACTTATAATAAGTATTAAGACTTTCTATATCACTAAATAAAGATCAAAGAAATCTTACTATAGCTAGCTAAGATCTAACTATATAGCTATAGGCGCAATATTAAGAAATAGAGGTTATCGAGATTCTTAGTATTATAGGTTTAATACCTCGGAGGGATTAGTTCCTAGAGTCGGCGGCAAAGTTCTATAAACCTAAAAAGTATCGGCGCCGGGGCTCAGCGCTAGACTAAAACTCGGCGGTAAATAGAAATCTATAGGTTTAATTAATTAAACCTATCTAGTTAAATATATAATATATAAATATCGGCTCATATAAATATATAAATAATAATAAGTTTAATAGTAATTTTAATAATAGAAGAATTTAATAATAAAAAAAACTTATATCTAAGTTTTTTTATATAATTAATTTATTACCTTATATTAAGTTTATTTTTATTATATATATAAGTTTTTATAATAATTTCTCTTATTAATACTTTTTTTATATAAGCTATTATAGCTATTAATAATTATAAATTATATTTAATATCTTTAAATATATTATTAAATATATATTTTATTTTATTTATTTATATAATATTTCTTTTATTAATATATATTTAATTTTATTTAATTATTTCTTAAAAATATATATACTTATAATAATAAAAGTAATATTATTATTTCTTATTTAATTATTAAGATTAGCTTAAATCTTATCTTAGTTTTAATTTTAATTCTTAAATATTTCTATTATTTAAATAATTTAATAAAAAAATATAAAATAAATAAATAAAGATATTATAATTAAACCTCTTATATTAATATTTATATAATAAATTTTATTAGTTTTATAAATACTTATAATTTTATAAAGATTTAAAGTAATTTCTTAATAAGCTTTAAATAAGAAGATTAAATATATAATAATATTATTATTATTAAAACTATTACTAAGATTATTATTATTACTTATTTATATAAGCTAAGATATATATATATATTATATTTAATTAAATAAATTTACTAAATTAAAATTTTTATTATTATTATTATTAAATCTAGTGCTATTAATTAGCGCTAAATATTTAAATTTAAATTCTAATATTAGCCTCTAAGATTTATAATATTAATTACTCTTATAACTTAATATTTCTCTTTTAGCTTTATAATTAGTTTATAGCTATAATAATATTTTTTTAATTTATTAAATTATATATATTATAAGATATAAATAATATTCTAAGTAAGAATTAATATTATAAGCTATTTATTATATAATTAATTTAATATTATATTATTAAAAGCTTAAAAAAATATTTTTTTAAGCTAATTAAATATTTTATTTTATTTAATCTTATATTAAAAGCTTTATAACTTAAAAAGCTTTATTTTAACTTAATTAAATTAATTATTATAATTATTATTATTTAAAAAACGTCTAAATAAAAAAAAATTTTATAATTAAAATTTATTAAAATAATCTTTTAATTATTATTTTATATTTATATTTTTATATAATATCTTAAAAGGCTTTATTAAAAGCTTTTTTTAAGCTTTATATAAAGCTAATTACTTAGGCTAATAATTATTTATACCTTTATATTATAATAGTTTTTATGCCTTAGTTATAGTTATTTTTACTTATAAAAGAGGCTATTAGTTTAAGCCTAGCTAAAGGAACCTTTTCCCTACCCTATATAACCTTTATAAAAAAGATTATATAAGCTAGGGATTAAACCTATAACTTATATATTAATTAAGGCCGTTAGCGATTATGCTATTAGCTATTAATTTATTAATAACCCTATTAAAATTATTATTAAAATTACTAATTACTATTATAAGATTTACCTAGCTATTAACCTACCTTATAGCTAACTAACCTAAGCCCTTAAGCCTTAACCCTACTAAGGGAGTATATATAATAATAACCTAGCCCTTAGGTTATATACCTAACCTAACCTAATTAAGATAATTATTAATCTATGCTATAAGATAAGGCCTAGCGAGGTATATATATAATTAGAAGAAAATTAGGCTTATATAATTACTTATATAATAAGTCTTATAATATATAATAAATTTTATTAATTTAAGTTATTTAATTAAGCCTAATTAATAAGGGGTTTTAGAGCTAATTAAGGAGGTAATTTAATTTTAATTAAGGTTTTTTATTTTCTTAAATAAATAATTTTCCTTAATATAATAATAGCGCCTTATTATTAAAATTACTAAGATTTTAATTAAAATAATATAATCCTTATTCTAAGGTAATAATATATTAAATTATTTATTATAATTATTTATATAAAGAAAAGCTTATTATAAGTAAGTTATTTTTATATATATTTATTATATTATTTTAATCCTTAGGTTAAAAGTCTTAATAAAAAAATATTATTATATAATTAAATAATTTATTTTTATTATAAATAATAATTATAATTAACGTATATGTCACCCGTGCGTCGCATCCAACCATGCGTCGCACTTAGATTTTCACCTTAAATCGCGATTTTAAAATAATTCTTAGAAATTCAAACTAAGCCTAAAACAGCTCAAATTTTTAGATTAAATCATTTATAAGATAACTCATTTTTGAGAGTTTTCATTAGATTTTATATACTTATAGCGCTAGCGCAATAGAATTCGCACTGTTTTTTTTACTATTTTTATATATATATCACTTAATAAATTTTTTAAAATTCTAAAAGAAATACTAGTTTATAACTCTTTGAGTTAAAGATTTAAAATTAATTTCCTAAAAATCCTAGGCCTATATAGGCTATTTTAGAAAATTTAAGATTTAGCGTTTTAGGTATACAGTATAAGTGCGACGCATGGTTGGATGCGACGCACGGGTGACATATACGTTATTAAACTTTTATTAATAATATTAATAAGAGTAATTTTAATTTTTAATTAATTAAGAATTATAAGGATAATTAAAAGATTAATATTAAGGAGGAAAATTATTATATAAAGGGATTTAAAGCTCTTTAATTAATTAAAAAGTAACTTATTTATTATAAATAAGGCTATTTTTAATATATTATTAAAGTTATTAATAATAAGGTATAAAACCTTATTAATTAAAATATATTAAGCCTCTTAGCTTTAAGTATAAAGCCTTTATTATTATAATTACTAAGACTTTAATAATAATATTTAATCCCCGCTTTAAGTAATAAAAATTTAATATATAATAATAATATCATAAGAACTATATATATATATTAGTCTTCTTTATAAGCTAGTATAATAGCTAAGTCTTATATTTTATAAAGTTTTATTATAAAGCAGCTAGTAATATTATAGGTAATAAGCTTATAAATTATATCTATTATTAAATATAAAATTAAAATAGGTTATGAAGAATATATATGGGATAGCTAGATCATAGGTATATTAATAATAAGTCAACCTTATTATTAACGGAACGATCGCCACCAACTACACCGAGTTTCATTCACGGTACTTGTAGCGATTCTGGCACCGTCATCGTTGATACTGACAAGAGTTTGGTCGATACCCCAATGAAGGAACTTATCGGTGCAACCACCTTTGAGCTGTGGAACACCGTTCACAACAAAGCTGGTGAGTGCCGTCTGCAGGATGTCCTGAGCAATAGGCCTATAAGCCGGACTCTGGGGGTCATTGAAGGTATACTTGAGATCCTGGATGTGCAGCCCTGGGGTAACATTGAATCGATCTAGTGACACGTTAGTTGGGGTTTGTTGGCTCCCAGGTTCAGAGCACTTACAGGCATAGCTTTTACCATTCAGGACCTCATTGATAGCCAGGAAAGTGCAGTCAACCACTGCCTCTCCCCACAGGGCCATCTGCCTGGAAGCTTGGCCCGTATAACCCAGGCTGCCATCGAACTGAGGCGGATAGAGCTCCTTGGCCAGGTATTCTTGCTGCGACTTGGACAAGCCGGGCATAGAGCGCTCCAGCCAGGAAACGAACTCTTCGTCATCCTCGAGGCCGGGGTCGAAGAAAAAGGCCCCTTCGAAAGCGTTGTGCGCCGCCAGCACCTTTACTGACTTGTCGAATTGACCGGCTTCGAATAAGGCATGGGGGTAGTCCGGGATTAGTCTGTGATCTAGGACAGGGCCATGGATGTACGAAGTCGGTGGAGCAGCCCCAATCTGACGAGCGTTGGCTGCAATAACTGCTTCCGAGCTTGCTTCACGCGCCTCAGCCAGGCTTGTCACGTTTAAAGCTTCCAGGAACCCCGAGTAAGCTGACTCGGGGACTTGAGCGGTGGGAAAGATGGCCGGTGACTGAGCAATGACCTGCGCAAAGGGAGCCTTGTAGCCCTCATTGCCAGCGTTGAGCATGTGGATCAGGGCGGAACCGCCGCCACCGGACTCGCCCATGACGGTGACTTTGTCGCGGGATCCGCCAAATAGATGGATCTTGTCCCGAACCCATTCAAGCGCGAGGCGCTGATCCAGGAGCCCGGCGTTAAGGTCGCCATCCTTCTCGACATCCGGCCCTGAAAGGAAGCCCAGGGCACCGAGGCGATAGTTGAGTGCGACAAAGATTATGCCATCCTTTTCAAAACTCTCGGCATGCTTTAGGAGGCCATCAGGCTCGAATCCCAAACTGGGATACCCGTTCTTCGATCCAAAGGCCCCACCGCCGCCATGAATCTGGTTAACAGTCAGCAACGGATTTGGTACAGAAGGAATAGTGATTGCTTACCCAGACAAGCACTGGAGCGTCGCAGCCTCCATTGTGATTCTTAACTGAGTTAAAGACCTTTCGGGTAACCTGGACATCAAGAAACAGACAATCCTCTGTGGTCGGAGGAGCAGGAGGGCCTCCAGAAGGAGGAGTCGAGTTCTTGATGTCGGCCTCCCACGACTCGAGACTAAATTCTTTACCGCTCGAGTACATCTGAATAGGCTTGTAAGCTCTTGCCTGCCACAAGGGCACACCTTGAGGGCAAGCTCTCAACTCGGGTCCAGTCTGGATCTCAATCTGGTTGGGCAGGGGAGGGACAGGAGCCCGGAACCTGAGCTGGTCGATTGGAGGCTGCGCATATCGGATGTTGGAGAACTTGTAAACCTCGGTAGTTTCGTTGTATGAAAGGGCCTGATGGCGTTCCTAACTTTTGTAAGCATATGAACTTGGACAGGTGAATGAGAAGCTCACATAGCCGAGATCAACGACGGGAAGACTTAGGGCCTTTGGGGCTGCAAGGACATTTGCTGCGGCTACTAGCAACAGGAAGAAAGTTGAAGCTGCACCTAGCATTTTCTTTGACAATGGGTAGTTGCGATGAGATGATGGTTATGGCGGTTGGAGAAAAGCTATCGATGGTGATGGGTTTCGTTTCGTCAACGCAGCAGACATGATGAGCTTTATACCTCGAATTGCGCTCAATTGATAAACATCGAGGCAAGTCTTTCTCGAAGATGCTTCACTCACATGCCCAAAGTAAGCTTCATGGCCCACTTCCTAAAACGGTAGTGTATTGCCAAATCGAGTGTGGTTGTCAGATGAGAGAGAGGCTGTGCCACAGCCGGGAGCTTAAATAACCGTAATGCTATATCATGATCATGATCACCTTAAGGCGGTGATGGCTATGTATGTCAGATTGATGGCGATTACATATTTCAACCGTATTTGCGGTCTACGGAAGCAACGGCACCTCGTCAAAGAGGCCACAAAAGAGACATGGACCCGGATCAACAAAAGCTAGTCTTCGTCAATAAAGATTCGAGCTCGACCTTTTTAACTCGCTCCCAGGGCGGGGAGCGCGCCTTCATCCTTAGCCATGTCCAGAGACGCCGGCGACAAGGAGCTGCATCCAAACAGCCCTGGTCACAGCGCACGTCGCAGTTTGCCTTTGACCAGGAAACGAATACGACATCGAGCGACGACAAAGGACCCCAACTCCTCACGAGCAGTCCGTCCAACAACGGCTTCGATCCTTTCCACTGCACCATTGCGGCAATGGACGCTGGGAACCATGCCATGCTGCACTTCACCTTTGACCAGGGAGCAAAGCTTACCTTCCTGGCCGAGGCGTTTGCGCCCTCGGCCTTGGTTGGACGGGACACTCGGATGAGACACGAGCGGGCCATCAATGAGAGATTGAAACACTGCGTCGAGGATGAGGCGTTGATGTACTCTACTCTCGCATACGGCTCATGCTGTCAGGGTTGGATGGCTGGTATTCTTGATCGGAAGCGTCCTCCTGAGTACTTCATTGACAAGGCCCTCCAAGCCGTACGAGAACGTCTACAAGACACCCAACAACTCAAGATCGACAACCAGCTCGCATTGTCCATCTACAGCCTCGCAATCACAGAGTTCTGGAGTGGCTCACCAAACTTATGGACACGATGTCCTGAGAGACACAAGGCCATGATGAGCGCCCCAAGCACCGATACCTCTGCTGCTCGCACACACTTGGGTGCTTTATCAAGGGTTGTTGGCAGTGCTGGTGGCTGGAGCAAGTTTGACCCATATGTGCTCGAAAGCACTATTCTGGCTGACAAGTTCCTGGCTCTGGCTGAGTTCAAGCCACCTGTTGTGCCCTTGACATGGGATCCCATCTCCCTCTTCCCGGGTTACGTCGAGGGCACTCGACTAACTCTCCTTCGACATAACCTCTTGAGTAAAGTCGTTTCGCTGGATCTATATTTAGTACTGCAAGATGTCACCAACTATTTCCATTACGCAGCCTCTTACTGGTCAGGCGGCGAGCGACATGCCAACGTCGAGACAAATCTGTTCCTCAAACTCCAAGCTCTGACGTACCGCCTCCTCCACCTCCAAGACCTAGAGCAATCCGACAACTGCATACGCACCACCACCTTGACAATTCTCCTCAGTGCGACACAATACCACGGTTCACAGGCCTCTGCCAGAACATTAATCTCCCGACTTCGTCAGGCCCTCGTCGAGGCACGCTTCTGCAGCGACGGGCTTGACGAGGGTATACGCTTCTGGTGCCTGTACACGGCTGCCATGACAACTGAGGCATCTCCCGACAAGGACTGGTTCTTGTGCATGATTCATCGCTTCTATTTGCCATCAGCACTTGACTATCAGGTTGAAGAGAGGTTGAGAGGCTACCTGTTTCTGCCGGATAGACAGGGAGCTCAGCTGTCGGCCTTGATGGACGAGCTTGCTAGTCTTAGGTAGAATTCCGCGCCATTAGACACCCAAGGGATTATTCTCCGACGATTTAAGTAAAATCGCCCATACAAGTCGTGTTCTGCCGTCTGTGCTTTGGAGTAATATCGCTTGGAGTTGGATCGAGTCGCTAGTTAGTCTAAAATTAATGTTGTTTGCAGGGAGGTAGCTCACAGGATAATAGGCTTCTAAGTACGTTTTTTTAATATACCTCAAATCTTCCTATCTTTATTTACTTTAACCACCACCCTTCTCACGGTAATAGTAATTCTTGTGGTTGTTCAGCTTCTTCCCGTACGCCCAGTCGTTCCTCTTTGCATGCACTTGTTCAAGCGTCCGGCCGCGCTCCTCAGCCCTGCGAGCTCCGCGCTTGTGTTGCTCTGTGACACCAACCATGCCTCCCATACCACGAGGCACCATCTCACGGGACCTGCCATTCGCATGGACAAGCTGACCATCAGAAGGCAAACCTTCCTCGTCTTGTGCCGCCTCTTCAATGGCCAACTGCTCTGCCCGTTCTTCAGGAGAGGGGTGGTTGTGCAAATTCTGGCGGAAATACCGGTTCAGCGAGCGATGGCCAACAGACTTGCCAGAGGGAAGATGCAATTCGTAGTCATCGTAGAACACTGCGCGGGTAGGCTTATGAGCATGCGAATGCCAACCATCAGCCTGGTGCCGGTGCCCTATGTCCTGTCGTGAATGGTGAGGATGTTTATCCAAACGCTCAAACTGATGGATGTGTCCTTCAGCTGGGACAGCAGTGAGATCCGCGGAGTCCAGTGAAGACGCTGAGCTGTCGGTTTCCCAGCCATCCCCATCTCCCCCTTGCTCGATGTCCTCTCCGTCTTCGGCAGTAACCTTGGCTGCACGCCGGGCTCCGAGCTTGGCACCTCCGGTCTTTTCATCGACAACAGACTCATCGTCACTCAACTCTTCTTCATCTGAGTAGGTGCTTCTGAAGTCGTAATAGTCGCCAATATCGAGCTGCTCATCCTCGCTGCTGTACGGGATCTTGCAGTGACCCTTGTCGCGCATGTGCGTCTGGATACCGAAAACTGTGGACTTGACTTTGTCGCAGTATAGGCACTGGTGGTCTTGGTGAACTTTGTCTTGCAGTTGCTTGAGCAAGCCATCCAGATCGACCAGGTACTTCTTTTCGGGGATGAACATGCCATGGAACCTTTCCATGTGGTGTGTGTTGAGTGAGACGGTAGGAGAGGAATAGTTGCAGAAAAGACACGACTCCAGAGTAGAAGTAGGTTCTTGAGCAGCTGGGACGGGAGTCTTGGAGTCGGAAGCGCGTGCTGAATCAGATTCATGTTCAGGGTCCTGGGCCGACGGTCGAGGGTTGGATGGTCGCTTCACGGGTGAGGGTCTCTGCTCAGCAATGCGTGCCTTCTGTAGGCCTTCAACAACATGGTTGAACTCTTCTTCCGCATCTGAGTCGACTTCATCTCGCCCAGCGGCTACAGGTTCCCCAAGGGAAAATGTAGAGCTAACAACAGAGGTGGTCTCGTCGTCGGCTCGGGCTGGGCTGGGGTCGGTGGTAGTTGTCGCCTCCTTCGCCTTG